TGTGGTAAGTCTCTGACTTAGCTGGCATTTCTATTACTGTGATGAACACACCATGATAGAAAGCAACTTGGGAGGAAAGGCTTTATTTGTCTTACACGTCCTCATCACAGCTTGCCACGGAAGGAAGGAAAGGCAGGAACCCATGTAGGGCAGGAGCCTGGAGGCAGGAACTGAAGTAATATGACCACCATCCTTTCTGATAGGGCAGAACATGCCAGGCATGTAGGAACTTCTGTGGAGTCTAGGCTGTGGGCCTACCATCCCTCTCAGACACTGGCTAGTTAATGATCCTGGAATTGACCTTCTTGGGCCTTTCTCTTTCTCTCCTTCCTCCCACAGCTCTGACAGATGGAAGGATTAAGAATCACCTTTTAAAGCTCATGGTAGACAGAGTTCTGTGTATCTGGGTTTAGGAAATTTCATCTCTCTCCGGTCTCTGTGGTATGCTATTACCGGAAGGCTGAATCTGTGGCAGGATGGGTATAGAGTTAAACCAGTCCCTTGATTCCACAGCACCTCATCCACCGAAAGGACACCTAGTGTCCAGAACTACACACTCTGGGGCACTTGGCCTTGCTCTGGAAAGAAACCCTTAGAGCAGAAGATGGACGGGAAAGTGTCACGACAAGTGCTGCCAGCTACCCTATCAATAATCCAACCAAATTAGATCATCACAAGGCCAACCACAGCAATCCAGCTCCACACTCTCTATCGTCGTCCCCAGAAGTCACTTTCCAGAGTGTGGCTTTCCCAGCATTTAGTAGGAACCTGTGGTCTGAGTGAGTAGACTCTCATTAAAGTGACCCAGATCTTAGGGTCAAGTCAACAGGCACAGGAAATGAAGAGAATTTATTTGTGAGTCTGTGATTTCAGAGTCTAAACATTGAATAGAAACTTTTATGATGTTTAATAGAGAATAAAGTTGGTGTTTTTTTTAATATCTTTTTTTTTAACCTCTGAAATTAAAGTATGATTACACCATTCTCTTCCTCCCCTTTCTTCTCTCCAGCTCTTGGTCCCTTGCTTTGTCTCTCTAATTCATGGCCTCTGTTTCTTTAATCAGGGTGTGTGTATGTATGTGTGTGTACACGCACATGTGATCCCATGTTCTCAAAATAGATAGTAGTTATATTTTTAATTGGTTGTTTTTTGAGATCGGGGTTTCATCATACTGTTCAGGCTGACCTTAAACTTCTAGGTTCAAGCAACTCTGTCATACCTGCCTATGTTTTAAATTTTGCATTCTACAGTGATTCTTGGAATGGTTCCAACCTCTTAGAAAAATCCAAAATATTATTTGCTCTGCATTGCTCACAAAGCCCATTTGTCATTTGTACAAATTAAACATAGACATTTAAATATATTTCAGTATAAATTAAGCATGGAACACTCATACCTTACTATTCCTTACTTGGAGCTTGGAAGCTGTGGTACTGTAACATCTTTCTCATTCATGTATTCACCCACAGACTATTGATCAAGTCCTAATATCTAAAAATATATCTGGATTTCCTGATGCTTTCCTCTTTCTTCTTTCTCCCAGCTCCTATCCTGTTTGCATTCCAGGGCTGGGAGAAATTAAGGTCTGGGTACAGGAGAAGGGGCTAAATATATTAAACTAATAAGTAGTGCATTTAAGAAAAACATAGAAGTCATGACAAACATTCAAAACAACCTCTGAGTCAGAAGTCAAGAAAGTTTAACTCATGGACATTGGCCCGTGTTAAAACATAGTCAGTTCCATGGTGTATGGCTGTAGCTACTCTAGAGGTTTAGGCAGGGGGATTGCTTAATCCCAAGAGCTCAGGGACAACCTGATTCTCACTGTATGGTGTTTGGACCAATGGCTTTGTTTTGAGTTTGTTGGAAATGGAAATCCCTGGACCCAGCCCCTTAGCTCTGACCTACTAAGGCATAATCTCTAGGGCTAGGCTTCAAGAAAATGAGTGTTAAAAATATACACACATTAAAATTTTTTTACACACATTAAAACAACTGGCCTGATGTTAATCAGGCTTTATCTGAGTGAAGCATCTTTTTCCAAATCCTAATAGTACTGCCAATTGAGTTCTATCACCTGCCTGCTGCTCTCTGCAGTTTAATCTCCAAAATCTCTCTCTCTCTCTTTCTCTCTCTCTCTCTCTCTCTCACACACACACACACACACCACACAAACACACACACCCCAACCAAGTCATTTATGCAGTCTCAACACAGGGAGAAAAAAATAGCAAATTCCCAGCGATAATCAAAAGGGAAAATATTTGGACAGGTAATTTGGAGAACTGGCTATGGATCACTATGTACAATAATGAAGTTGAGCAATTAGGTTTGGAAAGCCACAGCACAGAAAATAATTAACCCACAAAGTAATCATCTCGGAAGTCTCAAAGCTCATGATTAAAATAAACCTGAAACAAATGATTGTTTAACTTTTAAGCAGTGCTTGTTTTAGCCACCGTCAACTTCAGGTGTGAACTCCGGGGAATGCTTCCTGCCTGATGAGACCGGATCTAGGATGAGAGGGCATGTCCATTCCTCTGAGTTCCCTTTCTCTGGGGAGGATTGCTTAGACTGCCACAAAATACCTCTCCAGTCGGGGTGACAAGGTTGCTCGAGCCTCTCGGCTTTGCGCATCATGGAGGCACATCAAACCTTGGCATTCCATTTGCAGCTGTGATAGGCTTCAGCCATATTGAATCCTGTGTAACCTTGGAGGCTGGGATGCATGCTTCGCTTTCTATGCAGCTAGCTTGCATTTTTGTTGGCAGTTTATTATTGCAAAGCATGGCGCGCTCCCTCCCCCACTTGCCTCTCCACCCAAAGAAGTGAATTAATAACTAGGAAACGAGACAGAAATGAGATCTAGAAGACTCTGGGCTTCTGCATGTCACTGTGAGCAAACAGCAGTGGAGAGAAAAGGTTCCTTTCCATCTTTATGTGCAGTGCTGTCTGTGCATTGACTTGTTTCCTGACACATGAGCCATGGCTTGAAAGGAATTCAGGCCCCAGCAAATTTTGCATTGCGCTTCAATGTGGCCTCTGGGATTGAATAAGGGCAAATCTATTATACTGTTGCCATGGAGACCCTGGCACAACTGCTGATAAAGAGTGTCTGATGTTTGGTAGGCCTCGTAGAATGGTACATACCATTTAAAGAATGGCGGGCGGGCGTGTGTGTATGTGTGTGTGTGTGTGTGTGTGTGTGTGTGTGTGTGTGTTGCATGTGTGAATATGCAAGAGAACAAGTGCGTCCATGTGGGTGGTGGGGGTGGGGAGAGATGACTAGAATGCAGGGTGCAGTGGGGGAGGAAGGATGTGAGACTGGCTTGGCAAACCGTGAAGGAATGTTCTGTGTGTTTTTATGACAAATCTGTACTTTCTTCCCTCTAAAAATGAGCCCTGCCTTCTAATAATCCACACGCTACACAGACGGGGCAGCTGTGGAGGCGCAGCTCACCCCTTGGTCTAAAAGAATTAGTCTTTAATTCATCTGAAAGAGAATTAAGCTAATACAATAAAAGTGAAAATGTGCTCCTTGCGTCCTGTGATGAATGCCGCCTCCCTTCAGCTGTCTGCCTGAGGATCAATAGTGGACCTGTGAGGAGCACGAGCCTTTGCTGGAACGGGCTAGCAAGATGATGGATTTTCATCATTAAAAGCATTTCAGAAGCACAACACAAAGAAGGCTGATCCCCTTTCACGCTCACAACCTCAGTGTTGTTGCTTCGGCGGGTCCTAAATTCACTTCTTGTCTAGAAGGCAAAGCTCACAGTCACCAGATTCCACTCCACACTCATGCCTCTTCTAAGTGGTCAATGTGGGCAGCCTGCACTTTCTGACTGGTGCTCATCAGCCCTGGTTGTGGGGCGGATCGGCCAGCGAAGCCCTGAGCCAGCCAAGAGTTGTTGGAGACAGGCAGTTCTGGCAGAACCACCTACAGTCAGCAAGCTTCAGAGGAAGCAGCTCTAACAATGGGAGGCTGGGCGATCCGCGACAGCTGATAGGATTATTATTATTACGGGCCGCAGAAAGCCGCTGTGTTCTTCTGTGCTGCTTTGCAGACCTCATAAGGCCTCTCTGTGATTTCTGCATAGTTAATTTGTCAGTTTATAAATTACCACATTATGTTAACGCTGAATGCTTCAAAACACAAATATATGCACAGAGGGCTTGAATATTTGAAGTGTTTTAGTACTATGGGGAAATAATTTTGTTGTCAAGCTGTGGCAGATATAGAACTGCTAGGGGATACATGGCCATTTCATCAGGACTGTGTCGATGATGGCCTGTGAACATCCAAGGGGGAAAATCATCTTTTATCACTATTGTGTACCGTGCCGGTCCAGATGGGGGATAAAACATGCATGAGTTGCCCGCAGCTCTGAAAATAATTATACTCATTTGCCAGAAATGTAGAAAGTGCATCCAACCAAGTTGCCACCCATCATAGTGACACTCCGTTTGCATACTGATGAAGTTTAAAGCCAGAGACAATGGTGTTGGTATCAATAGCAAAGGGGGGGCTGGGCAGCATGAGCGCCGAAGGATTAATAGCGCCATCATTTTCTATTATGCAGCATTTCACTTATGCTGCATATCAAGGAGTCCTGCCTCTGAGGTTCACCTCACTGTTTATAAGCTTACAGTTGGCTTTAAGACTCCAAACATTAGCACGGATTCTTTGCAGGTTCCACAGAGGAATGCAGAAATATCTGCGCCGTAGAAAGTGCCTGGAAGGTGATGATGGCTAAATATGTTCAGATGCCATTATAAGGGTTGTCTGTATACGTATGTGTTTGTGGACGTGGGAGGACGCGTGCACTCACCCACATGCACATGGGTGGATTTGGAACACTGCAATGGGATATGAGGAGATAATATGCGCATGCTAAGTACCAGTACAAGTGCCGAGTCATTGATGAATTTTTTTTTTTCTAATGTGGAGGAAAAAGAATGAGTACCAGTAGGACCCAAGAGAATAATTCTTTATATTGCAATCAGCTCAGCCTATATGTATTTGCTTTAATTATACAAATAAGCAACAAAACACATAGATGTGGTTATTTAATCCTTATTGGATAAAAAGAGAGTGTCTCATAATGACCCTGAAAAATATTATAAAATATTCAATGATTTTTATATACTCTACATTTTAGACGACTATAAAAACAATCATTGTCATTGGCCAGGAGATTGGTACATTTCTTTAAATTTTCGAGATCAGCAAAGCTTGCATGTGTGAATGAAGAGATACTTTTTCATGGAAACTTGAATTCTCCTAGGTGTTCTACACTTTCAAAATAGCCCATTCACGATGTCACAATGTTTATTTTTAAGTAATGGTTTTAATTACATCCTCAGAAGGAAACCATTCTACACTCCGATCGCATGGTCTGCACTCTAACGATTAGTCCAACGCAGCTCCCCACTTGACTATGCTGTCATGTGGCCAGGGTAAGATTTTCCATCTCATTGCACCACAAGATGCAGGCTTCACTCTCCACAAGTCTTTGTTGTAATCAAAGGAAGGCTTGAGCCCCAATAAAATAACCAAGAGAAAAAGAGTCATTTCAACAAAAGTGGTTTGGTGATACTAGAACGCGGGATGCCGCAGAATATTTTTAGACGGCAACAGATGTAGATTCCTCCAACTAACTGGGGCAGAGAAGCCCAATAAACTCTTTCAGTTCTGCTTCTCTTGAAACACAGAGGTGACAGGGATTCCCCACTGCTGGGCTCAGTAATAAGTGACTGGTGACCGGGTAAGGAGAGGTGAGCATGCCGCAGCAGGGGACTTCCGCAGGTGTGAGGCAGCATGTGCTCCGGGTAAAACGGAGTGTAGAAAGGGTCAGATTTTCAGAACTGATGCCTCTGCCTTCTTTTGTTCGGGGATAATGAAAAAAACCATCAAGGTGGCACCAAAGACCTGAGAGTACTCTGGAAACGGTCAGAGTACAGATCCTCTAGGAAACATCCAGTTAAACTGTTGAATCAATGATTTCTGGAAAAAAAAAAAGTTGGTAAATTTATTTAAGATTCAGTAGGAAATTAGTGTCTCGACCCATTGATATTGATGACTGATGATGTCAGAAATTTTTGCTTGCTTGAAGTTTTTACACATAGCCTCAGGTTTCAAAGAGAAAAGAATAAAAAGATAATCAGGCAAGTGAGTAAAGGGTCACAGAATCCCACATGGGGCTTTGCCAGTGTCTTAGGGTTTCTATTGCTGTAAAGAGACACCATGACCATGGCAACTCTTACAAAGAAAAACAATTAATTGGGGCTGGCTTACAGTTCAGATGTTTAGCCCGTTATTGTCATGGAGAGAAGCATGGTAGCATGTAGGCAGACATGGTGCTGGAGAAGGAGCAGAGAGGTCTACATCTTGATCCCACAGGCAGCAGGAGACTGAGACACACTGGCCAGACTTGAGCTTTAAAGATTTCAAAGTTCTCCTCCACAATGACACACTTCCTTCAAAAAGGCCACACCTACTCTAAAAAGGCCACCCCCCCCCCACATTGCCACTCCCCATGGACCAAACATTCAAAAGCTTGAGTGTATGGGGGCCTTACCTATTCAAACCACCACAGGCAAGAGGGCAGCAGTGGAAGAAATGAACATTTGGCAAATACTTTATTACATATAATATTTACTGTTATGTAATTCTTACAACTCTTAAAGTAAACTAAATATTTTAAATATTGCTACCCATTTTAAAGTTAAAGAAACTGAGGCATATTCAAGCATATTACCTTGCCCAAATTCACAAAGCAAATAAATTTGAATTATTTAAAAGTGAGTCTAGTTTCTAAGCTTATACTGATTGTATAGTATGTAAATTATGTCAGCTCTTCAAGAGTATATAAAAATACATAAGAGAATAAATACCACAGATAGACAAGGTAAAGCATTTGCACCAAGGAAATAAAATAAAAAGGCGATGAAAATATCAAGTAGAGATCTTGACAATAACAATAGTGAATATTTGACTAAAAAAATTTTTTTTGGTCGCAATACACTTTGTTAATAAATATAGATAAAATGTCTCTTTATAAATAGAAATATAGCTATTCCTGACTTTCTGAGAAAGTGCCAGATTGATTTCCAAAGTAGTTGTACAAATTTGCACTCCTACCAGCAATGGAGGAGGGTTCACCTTTCTCCACATCCTTGCCAGCATGTGCCGTCACTTGATCTTAGCCATTCTGATGGATGTAAGATGGAATCTCAGAATTGTTTTGATTTGTGTTTCTCTGATGACTAATGATGTTGAGCAATTTTTAAGTGCTTCTCAGCCATTCGAAATAGCTCTATCTCAAGACCCAGCCATACCACTGCTCCACAGTACCACAAGGACTTTTTTTTTCTGTATTCAAATATTTTTAAAAATTTATTTATTTTTTATGAATTATAATTTATTCACTTTGTATATCAACTGTAGCCCCTGCTCTCATCCCTTCCCAATTTTACCCTCCCTATTCTCCATCCGTGCCCCTGCCCTAGTTGACTGATAGGGGAGGTCCTCCTCTCTTTCAATCTGATCCTAGTCTAGTCCAGGTCTCATCTGGACTGGCTGCATTGTCTTCCTCTGTGGCCTGGTAAGGCTGCACCCCCTCACGGGGAGGTGATCAAAGAACAGGCCACTGAGTTCATGTCAGATACAGTCCCTGTTCCCCATACTGGAAAACCCACTTGGACACTGAGCTGCCATAGGCTACATCACACAAGGCATTTGCTCAACTATGTTCATAGCAGCTTTATTTGTAATAGCCAGGAACTGGAAACAACCCAGATGTCCCTCCACTGAAGATGGATAAAGAAACTGTGGTACATTTACACAATGGAATACCACTCAGCTATTAAAAATAAGGAAATCATGAAATTTGCAGGCAAATGGATGTAACTGGAAAACACCATCCTGAGTGAGGTAATCCAGACTCAGAAAGACACACATGGTCTGTCCACCCTTATGAGCAGATATTAGCCATAATACAGGATAACCATAGTACAATTCAGAGACTGAAGGAAACTAAGTAGCAAAGAGGGCCCAAGGGAGGATGCTTGAATTTTACTCAGAAGAGGAAATAGAATAGACAGTGGAAAAGGTTGAAGAGACACAACAGGATAGGAGAGGGAGTACGGAGGGAAACAAGGGTAGGGAGCAGATGTAGAGAGAGCAGGGGCAGGAGGATGGAGGGCTTGGACAGAGAAGAGAAACTGTGGGTGGGGGCACTTCTGAGACAAGGTGCAGATCTCCAACAGGGTAGGCTCCCGGGAGGATATGGGAATGACTCTAGCTGAGACCCCTAGTAGCCGGTGGTTATGGAGACTGTAGAGGTCACCCTCTAACTAGATAGGACTCCTATTGGGGGGAAGTGGAACACCAACCCACCCAACCCAAAAACTTCAGCCTAAAATTTACCGTGCCTACAAGAGGTGCAGGGATAAAGATAGAGCAGAGATGGACAGAATGTCCAACCAATCCCTGGCGCTAACAATGTCTCTCTTATCCTAAACCAATTTGAGACCCACTGTATGGGAGAGAGCCAACCCCTGGCACTAACAATGACACTCTGTTATGCTTGCCGATGAAAGCCTAGCATAGCTGTTTTCTGAGAGGCTCCACCCAGCAAAGGATTGAGACTCACAGCCAAAGACTGGGCAGAGCACTGGAAGCCTTGTGGAAGAGTGGAAGGAAGAATAGAAGGACCCAGCAGGGACAGGAGCTTCACAAAAAGACCTACAAAGCCAACTAACCTGGACCCAGTGGCATCTGCAGAGACTGAAGCACCAGCAAAGGACCATGCATGGACTAGATTTAGGCTCCCTACACGTATATACGCAATGGGCAACTTGGTCTTCTTGTGGATTCCCCAGTAAGGGGAGGGGGAGCTATTTCTGACATGGAGTCTGTTGCAGGCTTTTCGATCACTTACCCATGGTGGGATTGCCTTGAAAGGCCACCATGGAAGAGGATGTGCTTAGTCCTGATATGACTTAAAGTGCTTGGGTGGGTTAGTGGGTGCCCCTCTACTTGAGGGGGAAGGGAGAGGGAGGGAGAAAAGGGAGGGAGAGTGGGACTAGGAGGAAAGGAGGGTAGGGACTATGATTGAGATGTAAAGTGAACAACTAAATAAATAAAGTTGAAAGTTAAAAAAATAAATACAAATATAGATACAGTTCTTTGCATGTTACAGGTAAAGACATGAAGTATCTGTGAGATGGTGCAAATATGCCTTTCTGTTTAGTCCTGAATTCTTTTTTTATATAAGTTATTTTTATTTTATGAACATTAGTGTTTTCCCTCACATACATATGTGTGAGGGTGTCAGATCTTGGAGTTCCAGACAGTTGTAAGCTGCCATGGGGGTAAGGGTAGTTGAACTTAGGTCCTCTGGAAGAGCAGACAGTACTCTTAACTGCTGAGCCATCTCCCCAGCCCTCTAGTCCTGAATTTTTTAAGCAATAAAGATTGACATCTATTCCAAAAGTAAAGTAGAGACCATGGGGGTACTGGGAGAGGTATCAGGCTCTAATAGACTGAGGCATGTGTGGAGAGCAGCAGGGCCTACTATATGAGAGCCTCAACATGGAAACACACTTGTACATGCAGGGAACTGGATTTGCTTGCAGAGTTAGAACCCAAACGTGTTGAGGAAATTGTCAGCGGAGAGCATGGTGTTGTGAGTCAGAGTCTAAGCAGAAAAAAATGGGCATCCGTTGGTGAAGGTGACCCAGCCTGGGATGTCAGAGCCCCAAGGATTTAGAAGTGGCCAAGCTGAGATGATCAGGGTGACAGGCCCCACAGAGTGAGAAAATGGTAGGAGAAATAATAGGTTGACTGTTATTTCTTATTTAATTATAGGAGAAATAATAGGTTGGAGAAATAATAGGTTGACTATTATTTCTCGATCCATGAGGGTTGATCAAATAAGTAAATGTATTAAATATAATGAAAACCAGATTATTCATGGTCAGAGGAAGGAGTGCCAAAAATACTATATATATAATCGACATTATATATATATATTCATATATATATGAATAACCTCCATAGTGTTGGTTTGCAATTCAAGATACCAGTGCGACTTATGGTTTTCATAACAAATGAGTAGATGCCAAAACCATACGTATTTAACAGACATTCTTGAACTGCCATTTTTAGAGCCTAGAAGCAGCAACAATCCTACTGGAATGGGATCCCCAGTGCTTAACCCTGGCTATTAGTGCCTTTCCCTTTGAACAGAGCCAAGCCTCTTTGGAGAAATGACTGGCTCCTGGTTTAGAGTAAAGCCAATATAAAAGTAAAAACAAACTGGAGCACCTCCTTTTGCAAAAAAGGGCAACTGAGGCACAGAGAGGTTAAGGGACTTGCCTCAGTCACACATCAAATAAGACTGATGAAATAACTCTAGGGAAGTAGATTAAAATCGGAACAGTTCTACATTCATACTGCTTGACAAGCCCTTAGGATTATCATGTCATGCTGGTCACTGAGGTGATTCATATGCATCATAGCTGTGTAGGACTGTTGGTTGCTTTCCTCCTAAAAAGCTTGTGTGGCACCTTCTGGTGCCATGAAAACTAGTCCTGCTCAGGGAGGAGCCATTCAGTCCAGGGGCCTCTAGGCTCTGTGTCTGAAGTGCGTGGTGTCATCAGCAAAAGGACTTATCTACCACCTCAGGGGGACAACCCATGACAGGAGCAAAGGTTTGTAACATTTGGGAGTCTCTTGGACAAGTCTCACCAACAACTCTAAAGAGGTCTTATCGTACCCGGTGTTGGAGTTTTTGTTAGATGGTCTTTGGCTCTTGGAGTGAGCACTGTAAGCCCTGATTAAAAAAAAATAATTTAAACTCTATGTATACATGTATACTCAGATTTATGGGTATTATAGGTTATCTATTTAGGTAGATAGTTAATAGTATGATTCCTTAGGACTTTTCCAGACATTCTTACTGTTATTTCACCCTTCTTCCTTTACTGTATTTATCTCCCCTGTCCCTAATTAGAGCCTGCTCGTTCTCATTTCTGTGATGAAATCAAATGTTTTTAGAAAAGAATGTTGTATTAAACAAACGAATATATTTATGAAGTAGGAAAAAAAAACTGATGTCCACACCCACCAGGCATGGAAAGAAGAAGACAATGCATTGGTTGCAATTGGAAGTATCCATATGACTAGTGATTTTCAATAAAAGTGGAAAGAAAAATAAAAGAGATGTAACATGCCTTCCTCACTCTTGTCCATAATGAGGACCAAGACTGTGAGTACACATAGTCCCCAAATATTGTTGTTTAACCATTCTCTACTAAAGAACCCAAGAATGAAGGAGCCAAATCTAAGGCATGAACAGATAAAACATGACATAAGCCTGAATCATCTTGAGTGCCAAAATCAAGGGAAAAATGTTAATCTAGCATGAAGGTCATCCTACTGAAAATCTGGTGGCAACATAAGCACCAAAATAACTACATTAATAGGTGATGACTTATGAATAAAATCCCAATGAAGATCATGAAAATGGAGTTGAAAGTTTGGTGAGGATCAGTGTGTGAACGTAGTTTCAAAGTTCTTCCTTACAAGACTGGCAGACCAGATCAACAGGGAAAGATACTTGCTGCCAAGTCTGGCAGCTTGAGTTCAATACCCTGGGACTCATATGGTAGAAGGAGAAAAGCGATTCCTGCAAGCTCTCTTCTGACCACCACCTGCCTGTTGTGGCATTCATATTTGCTCACATGCCCACACCCGTACAGATAGCAATTACCAGTAATGAAGAGGGGAAAGGAGTAGCTATAGAGAAAAAGTCTTCCTAAGTTGAGTTTATTTAAATGATTTGAATGAGCAAGTGAACATTACCCACAGTGAGTCAAACAAAATAGTGGGGCAAATAAAATGTGCTCAAACTCTGGTAAATGCATGGCAAGGAGCACAGTGTCAGTTATCTATGTGTGGATGTGAGCCTAGCCTTTAACGGCTGAGCCGTCTCTCCAGCCCCGGTGTCAGTTATATGATAGAACTGAGTGAAAGAATGACGAATCATTGGACAAATTAAAGACTAGCACACCTAATAGCTCGTTCACAGCCATCAGAATTGTCAAGGTCATGAATGTCAAAAAGAGATAGAGATGATGTCCGGGTTGAAGAAAGCGGAAGAAGCATGGTGATTAATTGTTCTTTGATTTTAATTGGACCCTTTTACTACAAAGGATGGTGTGGGGTTGTTTGTTAATTTTGGAGCAGGGTCTAAGCACTAGAAAATAGCAATATACCAAGGTGTAGAATATCTTTTTTTTTTTTTTAAGGAAATACAGATCCCAGGATCCCATGAATATATTGCCCTCTGACAGAGGCACTGTAGTCAGGGTTAGTTAGTATTTTTAGTGAACATATAATGGGTTTCCAGGCACAGTAACAGGAATCCTTTTAAGTGATACAGGGAAGCAGGAGAAAGAGAGTCAGAGGACGCCCAATCATGGAAACTGCGTTTAGAATGATGTGGTTAGTGGAAAGGAGACATGAGCTTGGGATGCGAGCAGCCTCAGGGAGCTAGAAAAGGCTGGAATAATCTCTTCCCTACAGGCCCTTGAAGAAATGCAGCCCTGCTGACATCTTAACATTAGTGTGTAAGAACCATCTTGGAGTTTTTTAACCTCCAGAACAGTATATTTGTTACAGGAGCAATAAGAAACTAATCCAAAAGACACGAAAGGTTTAAAGCAGTATCTGGCACACGATAACCACCAAGTTTCTTTGCTCTTACTGTTGTTGATATTGCTGGCCAGTGTTTTTGAAGCATCCAAATTATTTTTCTAGGGAAACTCTGGTTTTGTACTTAGTACTGGAAACATTTGATGGCACTAATATCCACAGGGCAAATGACACAGAATGTGTGTGAATAAACACCATTCCGCTCCAGGCTGCCCACTACATCTAGAGGCATAATGGGTTTTTCTTGCATGGTGCTGATCTGATCTTGACATCTATGTTAGCAGAAGAGATGGAGACTCTGGCCTGGCCTTGATGGGGCTCCACACAGAGTGGTCATGGGTACTTACGATGTGCCTTTCATGGATACTTCATGCTGGTGCCTGGCTATGGCTTAAGCATCTGACTTGTGGCCAGGTGTCTCTTACTGGAAACTTATTTATACTGTCAGATGCACTTATAGAGTTATTAATGAAGCTGTGGCCTGTTTATTTTCATCAAGATAGCCACTCTCTAGGGGCACTGAGCAAGAAGTTAAGTTCAGGTGTGTTGGTCAGGTGAGACATGGACATAGAAGCACAAGAAAACTTAAGGGACAACAGAGCAAGCTTTACTGTCAATATATCTTAAGAGAAAAGAAACAACACAGAGGGCTGACGGGTAGATTAAGGACACGAATGCTCAATCAGAGGGATGGGATGGAAGAAAAGAAGAATGGAGAAAATAAAGAGGTGGATGAAGGGTGACAGAGACTGGTTTAAGGCCTTAGGATTTCGGACATTACCTGAGCAGGCTTCCTTTGGAAACTTTTACTTGATGGTTTACAGGAAGCTGGCACAAGCCTTGTGGAGTCATGCTGTGACTGGAAGGTGATTACTGTGGCATGTCACATAGGCCATGTGGATTTTGAGGGTCATGAGGAAGGTCAAGTAGGTTGTATCCAGATGTCCTGTAGGGAAGAGTCATCAAGAGATAGCACATAAGGAGCAGGAGAAACAGAAACTATGTCAAAGGTGACTCAGCCTTGCCTCTGGAACTGGAACACCAAAGCTATATTCAAAATAGATGCTGAGGCAGAGTAGAACAAGACCGCACGATACCCTCTAACTGTAGGTGTCATCTATAGAGGTGTCGGGATGGAGCCTAAAGGCATAAAGAAGAGCGACATTAGTTGTTTGCTTCCCTTGCCCCTTGTGTCAATGGCCAGTCAGTCAGGAAGGGCCACACATCTCTTCTAAAGGCCAAGTTTCTGTTAGAGCTCCTCTTTGGGACTGCCTGTTTTTTTGGTAACGTGCCTTCAGACCCAGAGGTAGAAACAGCTCTAACTCTGCTAGTCTCTGCTGTTTCATCTTCTTTTATAGACAATATCATTACAAACACTCACACTGAACCCAGTGACCCTACTTCGTGAACTGTCCTGTGTGGCTCATGATTGATAAATACCTATACGTTTCCACATCAAGAAGGGCTTAGTAGCTACAAGAGGTTGGCACAACTTGGGTGTCTGAAAAGAATGGGAAGCTGGTGAGCCTTGTCAAGATCCTTCAGCTGAATACCACCATTGCACACCTATAGTCAAGCCAATTTGGTACATTACTTGCTGCAGTGGGGAAGCAGGGTACCATGGAAACAATATTGGCATCTTAGTGAGACAGGGGTAGGAGAGATTGACAGTAGGATTTGGGCTTGGAATCAGCAGTCTTAGGAAAGGATTTTGTATCAGGTCTTTGACTCACATAGAGTGAGGAAGCAGGGTCGATTGTATAACCTTGAATATTAATATACATTATCTGTACTATGTCAGACACAACTAAGAGCTGTACTTGGTAAAATAGTTTCAATCACTCAGATTTCCTGAGCAAGGATCATCATTGTTATGAAGACAAGATTTTAGAGAGAAGGCACAACCCCAGGTTTGTAAACCAGAGTCCTGGCAACTACTCCCAGTGTGAGACCTAATATAGCAGGCACCGTGGTTAAATTTTCAGGGTTTCAAGCTCTAGTTCCTAGATGTTACTGAATCTTAATTCAGAATGGTGTCAGCCCTTGAGGTGATGAGGCCATTTGTGCTTACACATTGTTCACTGGATTCAGAAAAACCACAGCTAAGGTCAACTTGTGAATGATAGAAGAGAATGGGCCAGTCATCTATTACCATAAATTAATAAGATGTAGACACCAACAGAAAGGCTGGAGAGAGAGAAAAAGAGAGAGGGAGGGAGGGAGAGGACAGGGAGAGTGATGAGAGATTGCTTCCATTCCAGACTTAGTGAGGACATTTGCAAGTACAAAGCAAAGCTGCAGAGACAGAGCTTTTCAAACATGCAGGACTGAAATCTCATTTCACAAGACAAGGCACAGATCAAAAATGGGAGGCTGTAATGGCTGGGTATCTAGTGAAGGCACTGTGGCTGAAAACATAAGCATCGTTTTGCTTTTTCTTTTTTTTTCTTCAAAGGGAAACCATCAAGAAGGATTTAAGAAGAAAGCAGAATCGAAGTTAATTTATTCTAAAACCACAATTAGGGGAATATTTGGTATTTTCAAATGTCAGAGAAGTAGTACCAAAAGGTATAATTAAGGCAGACCCTAGTAATGAACTTGACGCTAAACCTGATTTTGAGGGATTGGCGAGATTCTGCTCTTTATGACAGGAATGAGACGTGTAAGGAACAATTTTAGTTTAGTTTAATATATCTTTGCTGTTGTTGTTGAGTTCTTCTGCGCTTCAGATACGGAAATATTGAGTTCACAGTACTCAACCCCACCAAAGCTTTCCTAACAGGAATTTCTGCACCAGTCTCTTTAGGCTGAATAATGCGTTTTGCCTTCCAGTCTATTTTCTCTGCAACCTCCACAGGCAGAAAGTCTGCATCTATAGCTCATTACCATCATTCTGATGATAATGTTACGTCTCATCAATTACTTGGGAGCAAGGTCAAATTTAGCAGTCAAATCTCCCCTTTAGCAAGGCCATCAAGACCCTATCTATCAGCACCCTTCCCAAGGCTACTCCCCTCTACCCCGCAGAAGCCTCTCTGTGCATGCTTTCTGTCTCTCCCACCTCTTGCTGTCTTGTCCTCCCTCTCTCCATTTTTTTCAACCTCTCAGCCTATCTCAGTGTTACCAGCTGTAAAATCCTGCCTGATTTTAAGCCCTGTTCATTTGATTTCACTTTTATTTGTAAAGGAAAAGGGAAAGAGCCCCCCCCCCACCAAAAAAAGAGATTGTTTAACTTGGCAAATAAACACTGAAAACTACAGTTAGGAGGTTCTCTTAGAATATTAATCCAAGGGAAAATCTTTTTGATTGAGACTGTGCTTGAATAAATCATGCCAGTGAGATCTATTTTCATTAAAAAACAAAACAAAACAAGAACCCTCCCAGCCAAGCAAAAGCAAAACAGAAACAAACAAAATAAAGAGACAGAATAACTCACATGAAAAGTATCATCTTTAATTCCAGAAGTTGGCTCTGTTGCAGGGCTGTCAGCCAATCCAAATTTCTGAAAGATAATTTCCATTTAGTAGGGAACCCACTTACAAAGTCCACCATGGTGTATGAGTGTTTGACAACAGGCTTATATTTCCTTACCAAAGTTCAACTCAATTCCATAAATCATTTACTGAATCCACTTCCTAGAATCAGTAAGCAAAACTTCAGTTTCATAAACACAGCTGCACTTGGCAAACAAACTTAACAAGATAAAAAAAGATCTATTTATTCACTCTCCAGAATATATTTATAAGTTAACCTTGCTTTTGAATAGTGAGGATTAAATTGACCCAACAACCACTGCTTAAATCGGAGCCCCCTTTTTCATAAGGTAGCAAATCTTGTAAAAGGACAAAAATCGTAGGAGATATAGTACTGAGGTGGGTTGTCCTATAATTTTCTTATAAATTTTAGTCTTATGATGATAAGTGTATATGTATTTAAGATCAGACATCTTCCTAATGAACATTTCTTTAAATTAGCTTCTTTGTTTGTTCATAAAATTGTGAATTAAAAAAGACCAATTTGTTTAATAAAGATAATACAATGGCTTCTGTTTTCATAAAGAAACTGCCTGATAAATTTTACCTGTCTCTTAACTCTGAGTCTTCCACGCTTTTATGTTCTTAATATACCTATTTTTTCTTTTTCTTTTTCTTTCTTTCTTTCTTTCTTTTATTTTATTTTATTTTATTTTTTTTTTTTTACAACTGAGCATCTCTGGATTTTGACTGTTAAGTTTAGCCCATTTATATTTATTGTGATTTTACGCATCTGCCTTTATTTCCATCATCTCATTTTCTGCTTTTAATATTTTATATTTCCACTTTGGTTGTCTACCATTGGCAAAGTGTTCATTTGAAGAAGTAAATACTTCATATGATGTATGTATTGGATCTTCATTTTCTTTCTATCAAGTTTCTTAACCACTTCCCCATTTTTTTGGTCATTTTTATGTTAGTATCACTGACAGTAACCCCACTTACAAAATTTGTGTTTCCTGTCCTGGCAACTTGAGAAGCAGTTTAATTAGATGGTCAAATGCTCCTAGTGTGAAGGCTTCTGCTGGAAGGTGTACTAGCATCTCATTTTACATTAAGTTATGGCTGCACAATGTTTTACATGACTCTGTGTCTCAAAAGGCTAGCATCCAGGGAAAGAACATACCTTGCTTGCAGAAGTAATTTATAGTTCAAGAGAATACAACTGGGGCTGTTCCACAATGAAGAAAGAGTATGTTTCACACCCAAACGAACCATTGGCATATGTCTTGAGACTCTGTTGCCAATTTTTAATGGATAAGTACAGCCTACACAGTCTTAGAAGGGCAAAGTGATAGAAATCCTATATCCTCAAAGTTTTCATCAGTTAAGCTACTGAGACCAGAAAGGCACTTGGTGATCAGGAAGAGGTGCAGAAAGGATAACAGTGATGGGACGCGGTGAACGTTATTTGCGCTTGTGAAACTACCTGCCACACAGAAGACTGCCAATCTTCCCCAAGATTGCCCAGGGTTAAAAACCACGTCACAAATCTGACAGTGCTCTTCCTAGACAGGACAAAATACAATGTGCCAAAGTAGAAGAACCTGAGTAGTTCAGGGGCAGGCTGCAGTGTATGCTGCTCAGCGTCCTCACCTCCCGTCTACTTTGATAAGAACAAAGGCACTTGTTCCCTATCACACACTCGTTGCTGGTAGCTTACTTTTAGATCTCTCTCAACATTATCTTTAGTCAAAGAGGATCAACTTCTCTGGATGTATAGCTTCTTGCCAGGAAAATCTCTACTAATTCCTAGTTGACATCAGGGAACAAAGGCCTGGCTTAATTCTCTCAATTTGTAATAACTCTTAAGAGACCTCTCCAACCACAGAGGTCCCCGCAGGTAAGTTGAGGCCTCTGTTGCAGTTGTATTACTGTATTATCTCCTGATCAGTTCTACTTTTTTCATATTCTTAACTGTGTTCCATAGGGCATTCTCCAGAAACCTTCTGCCTGTAAATCTCCAGACTCTGTTTCCAGGGGATTCTGCTCAGGATGCCATCTTTTTAAAATGGTCGTTCTATTATTGTAGATTATTGCATCCCTCTCTTGCTTATGTGCCTATGTTTTGTGCTATAGGACCATTCCTCAGCGGTAATCCACCTATGAAAACCCTGTGTGGCCCAGCATGCAACTATATACGTCCACAATGATTTTCTGGTCAGTCTTCTGGGTACTCCAGTGACATCACTGTCCCAGGATTAATTTCTATGTAAATTTCTCATCTCAACAGTTTCTAACCACTATGGAAATATACATTTTAACTTCAACAAGAAAAGGAAACAAAAGCCTGTATCTTTTTTATCTATATCTCTCTCTTTAACGCGCCCCCCCCCCCGTAGCCTAGAACACCAAATTTCATTCTTCCCCTGTTAAGGTGGGTGGCTCTTTCCCCCTCAATGCCTCTAATTACTCAGGGTATATCCCTCTGAGCATTACAGCTTCATGAAGGGGTATTAGTTTCTAATTCAGCGTCTCATAGGACCCACGGCCTCATATCTGGCCTGATTGTATATTAAAACCCAAACTACTAGCTATTACTGAATTTGATAAGCACCCACGGGGAAGCTTCAGGATCAGATCCTATGCTTATAGTTAATTTCGGGCTTCTTGAGATTTCCATTTATTTCTTGCAGGTTGATATGCATTAATATCATTTTTAACATATTGCTAAGGATCTAAAATTACCACAAAGTAGCCGAGTGTTTCCTGCAGTTAGATTTTACTAAAAAATGAAAATCATGAGGGCAGTGACCTTGGAATAGGAGGCAAGGAGAAGACAGGGAAAAGAAGGAAATTTTTTTAAGGTGAGAAGTATGCTTTCATCTCCAGATTGGCTAGATACTGTTCTGATGAAATTCAAGTGGGTATTAGCTATCCTCCCAACATGGGACTGTTAGTTCTTTGAGAAAAGGCCATGCTTGTTTGGTATCTTAATGTTTTAAATTGCCAGAATCACATTAGATAGATGTTCAGCCAATAGTTGTTGACTAAATGATTCTGTAATAAAGCAATGCTGTGTCAAATATCCCTAATTAAAAAATGGGAAACAATAATATTGTCTACTATGTGAAAACTAGTCTACGGAGAAGATAAAAAGTAATAGAAAATGAACCCACTTGGAGACTGAACTGCCATGGGCGACATCTGTGCAGGGATTCTAGGAATCTCCATGCATGGTCCTTGGTTGGAGTATCACCCTCAGAAAAGATCCCTGGGCCCAGATATTTTGGTTGCTCTCCTTGTGGAGCTCCTGTCCACTCCAGGTCTTTCATCTCCCCCTTCTTTCATAACATTCTCTGTACTCTGTCCAAAGTTTGGCTATGAGTCTCAGCATCTGCTTTGATACCCTGCAGGGTAGAGTCTTTCAGAGGACCTCTGTGGTAGGCTCTTGTCCTGTTGTCTGTTTTCTCCCTTTTCTGATGTCTATGCCATTTGCCTTTCTGAATGAGGATTGATCATCTTACCCAGGGTCCTCTTTCTTGCTTACAGATTTTAGTATGATTATCCTATATTGTATTCTAATATCTACTTATAAGTGAGTATATACCATGTGTGTCTTTCTGCTTCTGGGGTACCTCACTCAGGGTGATCTTTTCTAGATCCCACTATTTATCTGCAAATTTCATGATTTCCTTCTCCATGGCAGCTCAGTCTCCAAGGGGGTTTCATAGTAAGAGGAACAGGAGCTATCTCTGACATGAACTCAGTGGCTGGCTCTTTGATCATCATCCCCTGCTGGGGGAGCAGCGTTACTAGGCCACAGAGGAAGACAATGCAGCCAGTCCTGATGAGACCTGATAGGCTAGGGTCAGATAGAAGGGGAGGAGGACCTCCCCTATCAGTGGACTGGGGAGGGGCATAGGAGGAGAAGAGAGAGGGAGGGGAAAGAATGAGGATGAGATTGGGACAGGGTGAGAGAGGGAGCTACAGCTGGGATACAAAGTTAATAAATTGTAATAAATAAAAATTAATTAATTAATTTTAAAAATTCCTGCAAGTAAAAAAAAAGTAATAGAAATGAAATGTGATCTGACTTTGCATATCCATTTATTCTTATAATAGACAATAAGACAGATGCTTATTGTCTATTATTTATTCTGGCACTATGCCTGGCATGAAAAATTTAACAGTGAGATATGGTCTATGTCCATATTTAGATGTAGCGAAATTGAAATGAATTAACTGTAACTAGTAAACAAGAAATGCAATGTAGTTTAAGGAAAGGATAGATAGCCAGACATTCTGCTCTCCCAGGACAATTTCTGCTTATATTTACTGTCTAGTGTAATTATTAATAGCATCCTTGTCACTTGCAGAGGCATGCCAGTTTAGATGGTCATTCTGGCTTTGACTGAGATGTATGATATTTGTTAAGGGGTGTGACATGCGAAACTACCCATGTAGTGAGTTCAGAAAGGGTTCCACAGGTAAGTCAAGACTGAGCTGAAACATGGAGAAGAGAAACAAAGGTCAAGTCTGACGGACACACGGAAGAGCAGGTGCAAAGCAAGGCAAATTCAAGCAATCAATAGGCCTGTCTTGTTAGAGGATCAAGGGCAAGACGTTGCGTAAAGTGGAGGAAGGCAAAGACTGTGTTAGCCTGGGAGCATTATGAACTTTGAGGTTATCTTCTTCAGCCTTCTACGGCAGAGATGGGGGAAGTAGAAAAACGGGCATTTTGAGAGATTTTTTCTCAGACTGAAGTGTACAAGACAGATTCAAGGGAATCCAGAAAACTAATTAGAAGTTTGATGTAATGGTCTCCTTAAGAGACGATAGAACTTGAAATTGAATGAGGAAGAAAATGAAACAAAATAGCGTTCGAGTGAATCTAGAAGGGAAAATGAATAGAACCTAAGGCTGGATTGGCTAAGGGAAAGGAGAAACAGGGAAGAATGCGGAAGTTGTGGCTCGCACACCTGGAATGACAGTGGTCCAGATCCCTGCATTTGGAATGCAGTTAGTATTGAGATGCAGCACATCTACAGAGCCATCCACACACTTGTC